ATGAAACCTTGGAATAGTTAATATTTGCATGTATAATAGAGAAAACATAGATTCAAGGTTTATAGGGTTGAATGTACACCATAGGAGTGTTAGAATGCTCAAAACCCAACAAATAACTCAAACTATCAAGCCCAAAACCAAAGGATCCATAAAGGCCCACTAATGGCACAATTTTCCAAATTGGACCCAATCCCATATGGGTCTTATCTTAAGCCCATAATTTCCTTGAATACAATCTAGATTAACTCAAGCACCCCTTGGGACAAACTTGGTCAAAGACACAACCCCAAAAGACAAATAAAAACCTTCTTCTAACACATGAAATTTAAATGCAGTTCTGAGGTTCAAAAATTTAAATAAAGAAATGACTAGTAAACTGGTAGGTTGATGGTGGCTCCGGTAAGGATTGAAGATCAGAAGGCGGCAATTGGCGGTGGTGACAGAAGATCGGGTGGCGGCGTTCCAGTGTCGTTTGAAGTTCAGGAGGCGGCAATTGGCGGTGTTTATTGAAGACCAGGTAGTGGCGTTTGAAGATGTCGATTGAAGTGCATGTCGACTGAAGTTGATGAGAAGAAGGGCTTAGAAACAAACAAGGATTGAAGATTTACGTGATATTTTTTTCTTTTTTCTCAATTACCTCATCAAGGGCACTATTGGAATATCAAATTAAATTAGATAAGATGGAATATTGATGACAAATGGCATAATTTTAGTGGGTAGGTATCTTAGTAGGAGACAATTTATAAATTTCTCTAAATTATTTATTTACCTCTAGCTTTGCAGGGCCGGTTCGACCCTTTGCAAAACTAAGCAAGGGCATAGGGGCCCCAATTCTAAAGGGCCCCTAATTTTAAAGCTTATTCTATTATATATGTATATAAACGTATTTCTTGGGTAACAAAGACAAGTTGAAGCTTGGCTTTGTGGTAAAAGCACTGGTTTATAAAAGTGAAGGTCTCAAGTTTGAAACTGTTTGCTTACTTGAAGGGCCTCAATTTTTTTGTTTGCTTAGAGCCCCAAATTGGTTGAGCCGCTCCTGTAGCTTTGATCCAACAACATTAATTGAATGTGGTTGAATGACTTTGTTTGGACTACGAGATGTAAAGAAGTGATATGTGCGCGTATTAAAAGAAATTAGATTACGTATAATGAACAAAATTACATGATATTTACACCTAGATCAATTTACGCAACTAGCCCCTAATGTATGCTTTAATTACAAACCAACTAAACAAAGTAATTTTAACATCTAACATATACAAAATATCCCTTTAGAAATACTTCACTTTAAATGGAAAGTAAATGAATTCAAATGGCTAAAAGATGGGTTTCTTAAGCATTCTCCTCTCCCTTTCAAAAAGAAACCTAGAACCATATAAAAACCGACCTACAAGAGGAAATTTTGGGCTACCAAATATCATGTACGTGACAGCAGCAAAACAGGTTATAAAAATTGGTATCCATTTAGAACTGTTTTGATAAAGAAGTAAAAAGTTGATGAGAAAAGCGAGGATCAAGGTCGCTATAGAGATGAAAAGTGATCCTAGACATATCATCAGTTGTTGGGGTAATGAAATCATAAAATCATGTTCGGTGTAATCTGAACCCAAGATAGACAACACCAAAAGGATTGAAGATGTAGCCGATATAAAAGACAAGCCATCAAATATTATGAAAATTTTGGAAAGTTCTTTTCGGATGAAGATTGGGATGCCCGTTACTTGGTCGTATCCACCTGGAAATGTAAATGCTGCTGCAAATGAGATGGTGGCTATAAGTGATGCAACCACCATTAATTGGGCGGCAGTTTCTTTCATCCATTCCTCGCCTTTGGAAAATAGATCTTTGTGGTTCTTGGTGAATACTTCATGTGGGGTTAGCCCAAACGCGTTCTTCTTTTCTCGAAAAGGAGGAGGGAGTATGCTTTCAACTTCCTAATATCAGAAAGATTACGTTATTGTCATGGACTTAAGGAATATAATATTAACATTTCATATATACTATAAGAAAATGGGAAATTGTTTCTGCAAGAAACGGTTTATTCATGCATCAACCCTTCAACTGGACCACATAGCCTCCCCCCAAAAGCATAGTGTGATATAGAATATCATGCGAGATATATATATAGATACACAAAAGTCCTCTAGCTAGGTGGCTGACATTAGAGCCGAGTGTCCAAAATGAGAGAATCCACATTGGAGTAATTGGAACTCAACTCTTAAGATTTCTGCAATCATACCACTACCAAACTAACTTGGCTTAGAGTGCGAAATTGGGAAATTATGAGTTTTTTCATATACAAAAATGATTCCGCAGATTTAAAATTGCACAAAAAAAAGGATAGAAGTTATTAAGAAAGGAAGATCATCTGTATGAATAGTTAACTATTGTAAAGGGACAAATGTACCTTGAACCATAATGTTTCTAGATGCAACTGCAGACCCACTCCAGGTATGTCTTGAAGTCTGTTATGCTTTGCACTTTGGCCAACCAAATGCAACATGTTGTTGCCATTTTCGTCTTCAAGAGTAATTATCAAATTCCTGAGTGAGCCTATCTCATACAATAAATTGTAGATACCTTCATGACGATGTGAGACAGCAACGTGAAATATACTTTGGTTATCATCATTCACCTCTCGTACTAAATGTGGATATTGCCGAATAACCTCAACAACAAAGGCAGTGTTGCCCATTTCTGCAGCAAGAAATAGTACTCGGGATGAGTATTTTTGCTTTGCAGGTATTGAAGTAGTTCCTCTCTCGTCAACGCCTCTAAATCGGTTAAAAATTCTAATAGGCATTTTTGTAATGTTGTCCGAAATATTTCTTAGCAGTAGTAGGGCTTCTTGCTTTTCTTTTTCAGCGCGTGTTGGCTTTACAATGTCCTTAGGTTGATCGGGTGGCCCTCTTATTATTTCATCAATTTGAGGCTTTGGCAATTTCACAATCTCTGCCCAAATGATTGTTAGTAATTGGAGAGCATGATTGTCCATGTCAGGAATTCCAGTCTTCAGATGACAGACTTCAAAAACGACACCAAAGTAAATGATATGACATACTTGTGAATAGATTATTATACCTTTATATCCTCTTCATTGGATGTTTTTGTTGTAAAAATATGAAGACTTTGTCTTCGAGGTAATAAAGTTCACTTTTTTTTATACTAAGAAAAAGCTCCAAAATCCGTGGAATGTCCCATCTGTTTCATTAGAATTTCAGACAAACTTTTATGCTCGACATAACAAAACCAGAAAAGTGAGTTTATGTCGAGATTAATATTCTTCAAAAGGTTTTTTAAAAAAACACGAGCCAAAATGATCAGAATTTTGATTAAAACAATTATTGTTTGGAAACCCTAATCACTTTGGTTCTGAATGTCCAGCAAACCCTAATAAAGCAAATGACCAATGCAACTATATCATCATACATCAGTGTTAATAGTACCTTTGTAAATCCTTACCCAATCATCACATATTTTACAGGATGTCATAACACATCAAGCATAATGTAAATACTGTTTACCAGAAAATGATAATATGAAGGTACAACTGCAATGAATAATATATAATAAGTTAAGGAAACGATATTCTTACATGAACATATGATTCTCCAGAAAATATTTTGTGTTGTAACATCAAATGCATAGGGTTTTCGAGCCAATAGTTCGAGTACACTACCATTTATTGCAAGTTCCGGACGGTCTCTTGCAATTTGTAATGCGATATCTACATAATATTTGATCGACAAGTGGTGAGAAAAAATCTATGAAAAAGTAAACAAAACTAAGCAAAAGCAAAATGCAAGCAAGAAGATATGATACAAAATCCACATCTTCCAAGAGTTTCATATGCATAAGAATTGCATGTTAAAATCTACATGTGTACACTTAATAGTTCCTTCCACTGCAAGGAAAAATTGCTCATTGCATCAAAATAGACAATTGATTAATGCATGTTCAATAATTTTTAGGGACACCATCAATAAATAACAACCAAGTTTAATGTTTGTTCCGCCAATGTACCTTAAGCAAAATTTTCTTTTCAAAGCGTTTAACAACTCAAAATTCAGTTCTATTCTGTTTTTTTGAAGTTTTATATTTTTTGTTCAATTCTTAAGAAATTTTATTTTATTACATGACACTCAAGAAAACATGTGATCGATGCACGACAACCCCATGATGAGCAATAAACAAGGCCGAAAAAGACAAAATGTTACAATGAAAGATGCGAAAAATACACACAATAAAGATTTGAAGAAAAATTGAGAATAAAAGGAATCAACATGGTGTAATCGAGTTACACAGAAGAACTAGAGAAAAATTATTAGAGTTGTAGAAAATACGACCATCTCAAACGCTTTCTGCTTAGCGTTACAAAGGTATACACGGATCAATTTATAATGTTAAAAGTTAACCTAGGGCGGGCCCACAAGCACAAGGCATAACTATTTGGTCTCATGGTCGTACAGAGCATCACAAACCTTAGCTCGAGCATTTCATATATTGACTCGACAATCGATGTTGCTTCCGCAGTTGCCATCACATACCCTTACGCCATAAATCTAATTAAAAAGTTAATTAACAATCTCCCACTTTCTATTTCTTAGTAGTAGCAACAATAAGGTTAATCACGTATATTAAACTACACAACTCAACAATCTCTTACTTGAAGGCTGATAAAAAAATATATTGTTATCCAAACACAAACGTTATAAACCCCATCTTTATCTAGTCTGCATATTATATTCAAGTATCCGAAAGTACATAACTTCAACTTATATGTTGTCATATTCTTGGTAAATGTATATAATAAAGTACATAACTTCAATATATATATATATATATATATATATATATATATATATATATATATATGTTGTTATAGTCTTGGTAAACATATCTAATGGAATCTTCATGTCAAGAGTCTTCCCCAAGGCAAGAGTAACCATCACTTATCAATTGTATGATAGAGTGGTACCTCATGACCTCATCTAAAAATATGTTTTTGTTCTCCTTTACTGGATTCTTCGCAAGGTGAACTACACTCTGGTTATAAAATTGTAAGATTCTAGCTATCCATTCTCAGTCGATAGCAAATAATTTTTTTATAAAGAATGTTTTATCAGAGATATACTTTCTATAGTGAATCTTCTAGTGGATGAATTTCTATATGTGCCTCATTCGTAACTTTATTTTCTAAACTCACAGTCTTTTATGCTCCCATTATCTTTAGACCCCTCCCAAAAAAAAAAGAAAAAAAAAAAAAAAAACTCATTTTAGCTCTCACTACTTCCTAAAATTTCACCTATCTTTAAGGTGCTTATAGGTCTTGTAGTGTCTTTTTATGCTTATCATATACAACTTGATCTTTAGCTTCTGGTTTCTTTCTCTTGCTAAAGTGCTTCAAGCTCATCTTTATAATGGTCATTCTCATTTAATATCACATCCCTAATTCTAACTACTATTTTATTGTGGTTATCTCTGAAGCGATAGACCATGTTATCGAATTTGTAGCCAATAAATACAAACTTATTTGCCTTTTCCTTAAGTTTATCTATGCATGTATCCTTTGATCTTAATGTAAGCGACGTAACTGCATAACTTCAAGTATGTAAAAGATACCTCCCGACATTTCCATTGCTCATTGCTAAAACTCAATAGTGTCAACGGGGTTGAAAGGGCAAATCAGACTCTACAACTTAACCTGAAATGGGAGAACTAACTAAAAAAATGAAGAGATGGTCCTATCTAAAAGGTGTATCAGTCCCACCCCTTTGGCAAAGTACTTCATGGAAACCACCACACGGTTTGACCAAATTTCGTCACATTCAGAGCTTTAATGATTGGTCAAGACATCTTTCGCAAGTGGTTTGGTGTGGAGTTATTTGGACATGTGTTTTTTAATAATTTGGGCTTACATTCTAGGTTTTTGTAGTTATGTGTTTTAGATAGTTTATAGGCTTTATATTTCCTTAAGTGAAACGAATTTGATTTGTAGTTTAACCTAAGATGTGGGACTAGTTTGACATCTGGAATCTTGGAGCTGGGTTTATGTAAAGCCAAATTTCAAACCTAAAAAAAAAATCAATCTTCATATACTAAAGACGTGTTTACATCCATTATTTTTACAACTTATTGTTCATACAAGGGTTTGGAGGTTTCAAAAGATTGGTTTATACCCCTTGTACCATCCTGGACGCCTAATAAAATCTTTTTATAATACAATAAAACTAGAAAAATGAGCGAAAACACCTTACATCATTGAGTAGCCATCAGTTTTGATTATTAATATCATTTTGATCAATCATGAAAAATTTGTTAAATTTCTTATACCAAAATCAAGTTCGGCAAAGGTGGTGAAAACATAGTTTTTCAAACTTGTTCTGAAAAGTGATTTGACCAAACCTGGTTTTGAACCGACTTCAAACCAATACTACATGTTTCAAATTTTTCACTCCAAACTAGTTTTTCCTTAATCAGTTTGACCATAATAGAAAAAAGAAGCAAACTGGTTTTCAAACCAATGAGATTCGGTATCAAAAAATCTATTTGTGTAGTTTTAATTTTAGTTTCAAGTTATCAGTTAATTATCCTTACTAAACTAGGAGTCATATTAAGGTTAGAACTATTACATATGGTGTAATCGTATTTTAAATTGTGGTAAATTTATTTGAGTTTTAAATTGTCGTGAAACTTCTTGAATGAATAGAGATTTTTCATCATTGTTTTATAGCTTGTCGTCCTTCTTTCTAGCTATTTCCGTTCCTTCTTGATTTATATATATATATATATATATATATATATATATATATATATATAGGTTCTCTATTGAACTTTTCACTATATAGGAT